GACGCGCCGCCGCCGAGCTTCCCGAAGCCGAGCATGGCCGCGGGCGGCGGCGCGGGGGCCGGCGCGGGCGGCGGCGGCGGCGCGGGCGGCGGCGCCGCGGCCTCGGGCGCCGGGGCCGGCGGCGGGGCCGGCGGCGCCGCGGGCGTGGGCGCCGCCGCGGGCGTGGGCGCCGGGGCCGGCGGCGGGGCGGGCGCCGCCGCGGGCTTGGGCGCCGGCTTGGGCGCGGGCGCGGGCTTGGGCGCGGGCTTGGGCGGCGCGGCCACGACGAGCTTCGGCGCGGCCCTGGGCCCCTGGAGCCCCGCGGCGGAGAGGCCCGAGGCGGAGAGGCCCGAGGCGCTCAGCGCCGCGCCGGAGCCGACGGCCGACGCCTTGCGGAGGCGGAGCGGCACGACGGGCTTGGGCGACGGGACCGCGCGGAAGTTCACGGCCTCGGGCGCGGGCGACGGCGGCGACGCCGTCTGCTCCAGCGTCGAGATCTGGGGCGCCGACGCCGTGCGCGTCGGCACCGTGGGCTCGAAGTCGTCGAAGAAGGACGGCTCGGCCGCCGGCGCCGGCGCGGCGGTCGTTTCCTTCCTCCGGCCGCCGGCGAGCGCGGCCTGGACCTCCTTCGCGAGTTTCGCGCGGTAGGCCTTGGCCGTCGACGACGAGTACTTGGTGTCCTGGCGGATGTGGAGGTCGCGGACGCCGTTGGCGCGGAAGAACGCGCGCGCGTTCTTGTTGCCGCCGCAGCGCATCGTTTCGAGCTGTTCCTCCGTCCACTCGTCCATGTCGCAGGACCGCACGAAGGTGATGTGCGTGCCCAGGCGCCGCTGGCCGCCGGAGCAGTCGAGGCAGATGAAGACGCCGAAGGTCGAACTCGCCCAGATGGGCTTGCGCTGCGTGCAGTCGAAGCAGACGCGGTTGTCGGGGAGCGCCATGAGCCTAAACGGGCGCCGCGCGGTTCGAAGGCGGGCGGGCGCGGGGGGGGGGGTCGCACCGCTTGAAGACGGCGACGCGCTCCGCCTTGGGCACGTTCACCATGGTCTTTGACGCGAGTCTATGCGGCCGAGAGGCGGCCGCGACGTGTGCGGCCAGGCAAAGGTTCATCCACTTCATCAAAAGTGAAGATACATTAACTTCTTCAAACAACATTGATTCTTGAATTAATCGATCAATACTAACCCTGATTTCGGCAGCATTTCGCACGTCGATGTCGATGGACGGACAACTTTCGACACGGCATTCGGCATGTTCCAGCCCACAGGGGGAGAAAACGAGCCTACATCGCCGTAGGAACTCGGGGGCGGAGATTCCAAAACCCCAGTCTGATCCTCGCGGGGACGCGCAGAAGCTGAGATCATTAGGGCCCGCGCAGCGCGCAGGACGTGGAGCCCGCCGCGCTCGAGAACCACAATGCGCTATGGCAACTCCTTCGAGATGGAGCCGCGTCGTGAGGGTCCGCCGCAGCTGCCAGGAGGAGTTGCTATAGGGTTGCCCATGTGCTGCGGACGCGCGACGCGGAGGCAGCCCGCAGTGTGAGATCTAGTGTCCGCAG